ATTGATTTGCATATGTTGAACCAGCCTTGCATCCCAGGGATGAAGCCCACTTGATCATGGCGGATAAGCTTTTTTGATGTGCTGCTGGATTCGGTTTGCCAGTATTTTATTGAGGATTTTTGCATCGATGTTCATCAGGGATATTGGTCTAAAATTCTCTTTTGTGTGTGTGTGTGTCTCTGCCAGCCTTTGGTATCAGGATGATGTTGGCCTCATAAAACGAGTTAGGGAAGATTTCCTCTTTTTCTATTGATTGGAATCATTTCAGAAGGAATGGTACCAGCTCCTCCTTGTACCTCTGGTAGAATCTGGCTGTGAATCCGTCTGGTCCTGGACTTTTTTTGGTTGGTAGGCTATTAATTATTGCCTCAATTTCAGAGCCTGTTATTGGTCTATCCAGGGATTCACCTTCTTCCTGGTTTAGTCTCAGGAAGGTGTATGTGTCCAGGAATTTATCCATTTCTTCTAGGTTTTCTAGTTTATTTGCGTAGAGGTGTTTATAGTATTCGCTGATGGCAGTTTGTATTTCTGTGGGGTCGGTGGTGATATCCCCTTTATCATTTTTTATTGCATCTGTTTGATTCTTCTCTCTTCTTTAGTAGTCTTGCTAGAGGTCTGCAGATAGTAACTTTTAAGACAGCAAACACTAGAGGACCTGCTGGAAATCTGGTAATGTTCTGTTTCTTCACTTGGGTGATGTGTTTGCTTTGTCATCGTTCATTGAGCTGTACACTTGTATTTTGGATGCTCTTTGTTATATATGCCACATTTCTTAAAACATTAAACTATCATGTTAACACATTGCCTTCCAAATAATTCATTGACCAGACTCTAGTTGTGAAAGCTGTACTTGACTCCTAGCTATGCTCTGGTTCTAACTAGTCATAAAACACACAGGATAATTCATTTAAACTGTGATAGGAAGAGCGTTGTGCCACTGACCAAGTTCCAAATACTGGGAAAGAGGGAGAATTACAACCACTGAAGGAATTAGTGCAGGTCTATCATATCCCCTTTTGACATCTAAAATGTTACTCACTTTTTAAGTTTGGAATTTAAAATGAATTAGAGAAAACACAGTAGGAAATCTTGGATTTAAATATAGCATTAAAACTCCAAACCCCACATATGAAACTATAAGAGCATTATTTCTCAGTACAATGCAGTAACCTCATAAAAACATACATAAGTTGAATTAGGTGTGTCCTAATTATTTTGAACTTTGGGCATTAAGATGAGTCTATAATTTATCTTATTGTTTATATAAGGATGGTTTACCTTATGGTGTTTATTAAGGATATCAAAGCCACCTGTATAGTGTAGTCACTTAAGATCCAGATCCCACTGTAATGTATCTATCAGTCATGTCCTCCCTGACATTTTGATTTAATTGCTTCAGTTCCTCACTACATCTCAATAGGTTGGAACTATAGATCCAATCTAACAAGGTAAAATATAATGGGGCTAATCCAAGGTTTTATGTTTAGGTTCAGGATAAATAAAGGGAAATATGATTTACCAGCATAGGTAATGAAGTGTCAGGAGGTTATGTGGATTTAAGATCAAACTCTTCAGTGGTACTACCCCCTCAAAAGGTTAATGTGATTATAGGCAACACTATTGCAAGTAATGGGAGATAATTAGACTACACCAAGAGGATTACGGTAAGTTTATGGCACCATATTTTAAGAGTGACACTGACAAACTAGAGCTCATCCAAAGGAAAGCACCAGATGTTTAAGGGGTTATGAAAAATGGATGGCCAGGTGCGATGGCTTATGCCTGTAATCCCAGCACTTTGGGAGACTGAGGCGGGCAGACAGGAGTTTGAGACCGGCATGACCAACATGGTGAAACCCCATCTCCACTAAAAATACAAAAATTAACCAGGCATGGTGGCACATGCCTGTAATCCCAGCTACTCTGGAGGCTGAGGCAGGAGAATTGCTTGAACACACGAGGCAGATGTTGCTGTGAGCCGAGATCACACCATTGCACTCCAGCCTGGGCTACAGGAGCGAACCTCTGTCTCAAAAAAGAAAAAGAAAAAGAAAAAGAAAAATAGATTACATGGCTGAAGAAATTGGACTGTGAAGTCTTACAGCAGCTCTGTAAGGCACTATCTTCATTTTACAGAAATAATACTGAGGCTCAGAGAGAATAAATGATTTATTAAAATGTAACTAAATAGTGGTTGGCTCAGGGCCCACAACAACTCCTGATTCTTAATCTGATATTCTTTCTGTTTCAAAATATTGGCTTTTAATTTAATTTTTTAAAAGTCTGGCTGTTAGCCTATATATATGGAGAAACTTGAAGTTGTAAGGGAAGGGTTACAGATTAAATGAATGGAAAAGGAAAGAATGCTCAGGGTAGAAAGATCAATGTGAGAAAATAGTTTGGTTATCAGTATTATAAGTTTATCAGTTATTATAGAAATGTATTATATTTTACATATTTTTCTCTTTCTCTTTTTCAAGGTTTTTGATTCCAATGAAGAATCTGGGTATCTTGTTCTCACCATAGTTATATCAGGTCATTTCTTCATTTTCCAAGGACAGACACTACTGGTAGGTTTATGCATAATAGTTTAACATGGAAATATATCTTTGTCTTCTTAGCTTTACATGAATTTTTGTATCCTCAAGCTTCTTCAGTCTCACTGAAATTCATCAAGGTCAACACATTAAGCATTTATCAAATGTGCTAAATGTGGGAAATACAGAAACATACTGAATATTGCCTGCCCTAAAGCGGTTTAGGATTTTGTTAGGAGTCAGAGTGGATCAAAAGGTTGAAATTAACCAGTATGATAAAGGATTCTGTAGTAAGGGAGATTGAGTTAAGATAGGCTAGGTTAACAGAGACAAGTGTGGAGGGTTTTCCAGATAGGGAAAACAGCATATGCAGAGGGATAGATTTGCAGAAATAAAGAAAACAAAAAAGTGTTATTATTAATTGATAAGAGTCCTCCATAAAACTCTAGTTTTGTAATGATGCATGTGTTCTTTATTCTGAATATATATACACTTTAGGAAATTTTAGAATTAAGAAATATGTAAAGAAAATAAGAATCAACTTGGTTGAAAGTTTAGGTTTTATTTGGTACATAGAAACCAATGAAAGAAAAAAAAAATTAGTAACTTCCAAACAAAGAAATTGTACAAGAAAGGAACATATAATGGAAAGTTATTATGTCATTTAGCTGTGAATGATGTCTACATTGACTTAAATTCATACAACAAATATTTACTGAATATCTACATGGGCATAATTAATTTAACAAATATTTATTGAATAATTAGTATATGCTAGGCATTTTAGGGGATGCGAGGGATATAGCAGTGAACAGTGAAGACAGAAATCCCTTTCATTATGGGATATCATCATTCTAGTGAGGGAAAACCAGCAATAAGCAAATAGGTCAAATACATTTAAAAGACATTAATTTTTTTGGATCGCTTACATGTTCTGTCATAATATGGTAGGAGCTCACATGTATATATTGTGATGATTCATCTTTCTGCTTAAATATAGCCTTCTCATTGAACGTGAGATGACCTGCAAAGTCATCTTTGTGTTCCTTGTGACTTAAAACTGAGGTATGAGTTGTACTATTTTGCTTTATCTGCTACTGTCAGGGTCTGGATCAGGTGCAGGAGATAAGGTTTCTTCAGCTGCTAATGAGTACTACAAATGGTAGGCTTGAGGGATACCTAGTGCACAGCTAGTTCTCCCTGTCAATATCATGAGTCTTTGCTGAATGGTGACATTAAAGCAGTTTGGCTTCCACAGGCATAGGAGACCACCCCATGCTGTCTCTCTGCTCCATCTTTTTGCCCCAGTGGTAACTATTGTGAACAAATGGATAGAAATGTCTTTGTATCATACATAGAATGATTTTTGCACTGTAGTCACAAAACCAAGTTTGTCAAATTCTAAGATATCCGTTACTGAGAAATATAAGGATAACTCTGCAATTTGGTGCGTGTTGCATATACAGTCATGTGCCTTATTACAACATATCAGTCAAGAGAGGACCACAGATATGATAGTGATCCCATTAGATTATAAGGGGGCTGAAAAATTCCTGTCACCTGTGACATCTGGGTGATACTGGCCCTTGTAGGCATAGGCTAATGTACATGTTTGTGTCTTAGTTTTTAACAAAAAGTTTTTAAAATACAACAATTTTAACAATGTAATAATAGAAAAAATATTGTATATGTTTTAAGTTATTGTAAAGCAGTCCAAATGTTTTTTAAAAAATTTTAAAGTTTATAAAGTACAAATGTTACAGTAAGCTAAGGTTAATTTATGATTGAAGAAAGATTTTTTAAATAAATTTATTTATAAAAATAGTCATTAAGGAAATGCAAATTAAAACTGACATGAGATAACACTACATACTTTTTAGGATAGTTCATTGAGTGTACAGTGTTTATAAAGTCTACAGTAGTGTACAGTAATGTCCTAGACCATCACATTCACTCACCACTCACTCACTGACTCACCCAGAGCAATTTTCACCTTTCAAGCTCCATTCATGGTAAGTGCCCTATACAGGTGTAATTTTTACTGTACCTTCTCTATGCTTAGATATACACATATTTAGCATTGTGTTAGTGTTACAGTTGCCTACAGTGTTCAGTACAGTAACATGTTGTACAGGTTTGTAGCCTGGGAGCAATAGGCTATCCCACATGGCCTAGGAATGTAGTAGGCTGTACCATTGAGGTTTGCATAAGTATACTCTATGATAGTCACACAATGACAAGATCACCTAATGACACATTTCTTAGAATGTATCCCCATTGTTAAGTGACATATGACTATACATATTTAACTTAAATACTGTAATATTTTTTAAAATCTTTTTTAAAATTTTTACAAATCACTTTTATTGAGATATAATTTACATAAAATTCACTGTCTTTAAGTGTTCAATTTGATGTGTTTAATGTATATAGTCATGTAACCATCACCACAATCATGATACAGAACATTTCAATTAACCCAGTTTCCTTGTGCCTCTTTGCAGTGAGCTTCTCTGCCCACCTTCAGCACCTAGAAACCATTGATCTGCTTTCTATCAGTCTAGTTTTGCATTTTTAAATAATTTTTATTTATTTATATTTTTAACAGATAAAATTGTATATATTCACTGTGTGCAACATTATTTTGAAGTATATATACATTGTAAAATGACTAAATCTAGCTAATTAACATTATTAATATGCATTACCTCACTGTAGTTTTGCCTTTTCTAGAATTCATGTAATGGAATCATATCATATGTAGTCTTTTTAGTCAGGCTTCTTCCATTCAGTGTAATTTGAGATTCATCTCTGTTGTTCCATGTTATCTGTAGTTGATGCCTTTTTATTAATGAAGAGTATTCCATTGCATAGGTAAACTTATTTTGCTTATCCATTCAGCTTTTGATAGACACTGGGGTTGTTTTCATTTTTTTCAGCTGTTATGAATAACACTACTGAATATTTGTATACGAGCCTTTGGGCATGTTTTCATTTTTCATTGTTAAATGTCCAAGAGAAGAACTGCTGAGTCATATGGCATGTCTGTGTTTAACTTTATAGGAAACTGCAAAACTGTTTTCCCAAGTTACATTCTCATAATGTATGAGGGTTCCACATGTTCCACATCCTCACCAACACTTATTATTGTCAGTCTTTTTAATTTTAACTATCCTAATAAGTGTGTAGTATTATCTCATGGTGGTTTTAATTTGCATTTCTTTAGTGACTAATACTGTTGAGCATCTTTTCATGTATTTGCCATTTGTATGTCTCATTGGTGAAGTGTCTGTTCATGTCTTTTAACCATTTTTGAGTTGTTTGCCTTCTTATATTTGAATTAAGAATTCTTACTCTGGTTACAGCTCTTTTATCAGAAACATGTTTTTCGAATATTTCTACCAGTTTATAGCTTATTTTTTCATTTCTTAGTGTCTTTTGAAGAGCAGAAGTTAAAAATTTTGAAGTGCAGTATTTTTTTCTCTTATGGTTTATCCTTTTCATATACTACTTAGGAAATTTTTACCTATGCCAAGATTGCAAAGTCATTTTTTTTTTTTTTTTTTGAGTCAGAATCTTGCTCTGTTACCTAGGCTGGAGAACAGTGGTGTGATGACAGCTCACTGCAGCCTTGACCTCCCAGGCTCAAGTAGTCCTCCCATCTCAGCCTTCTGAGTAGCTGGGACTGTAGGCACACACCACCATGCCTGGCTAATTTGTTACAGTTTTTGTAGAGACAGAATCTCACTATGTTGCCTAGGCTGTTCTCAAACTCCTGGACTCAGGCGATCCTTTCACCTCAGCTTCCCAAAGTGTTGGGATTATAGGCATGAGCCACTGTGCCTGGCTGCAAAGATTTTTTAAAATGTTTTCTTCTAGAAGTTTTATGGTTTCAGCTCTTATATTTAGGCTTCTAGTTTATTATGAAATTTTTTAGTATTTAATATTAATATTTTTTATTTTTATTTCATATAGTGGTCCTTCTTTCCCACAATTAAAGCAATGTGGTATTGATAAAAATTACTATATTATGGAATGTAATCATGGATCTTAGGCAATTTACTTCTGGAACCATTGAATTAATTTTAATATATGGCAAAAGTTAAGAATTTGGGTTTATTGGCCGGGCGCAGTGGCTCATGCCTGTAATCCCAGCACCTTGTGAGGCCAAGGTGGGTGGATCACCTGAGGTCAGGAGTTCGAGACCAGCCTGGCCAACATGGTGAAACCTCATATCTACTAAAAATATAAAAACTAGCCTGGTGTGGTGGTGGGTGCCTGTAATCCCAGCTACTCGGGAGGCTAAGGCAGGAGAATTGTTTGAACCCAGGAGACGGAGGTTGCAGTGAGCCGACATGGTGCCACTGCACTCCAGCCTCGGTGACAGAGTCTCCAAAAAAAAAAGAATTTGGGTTTATTTTTGCATGTGGATAGCAATTATTTTAGTACAATTAATTGAAAAGACTAGCTTTCCCTCATTGAATTACCTGGGTATCATTGTTGAAAATTAGTTTGCTAAGTATGTGTTCGTCTATTTCTGGACCCTTTTCTGTTCTGTTGATCTAAATGTCTATCCTTACTCCAATAACACACTGTCTTTACTTCTGCTTTGTTGTAATTTTTGAAATCAGGTAGTTTAATTCTTCTTCCAACTGTGTTCGTTTTCAAAGTTGTTTTGACTATTATAGGTCATTTGCATTTCCATGTAAATTTTAGAATGACATTTCCTACAAAAAAGCTTACTGGGATTTTGATGGGACTGATTTGAATCTATAAATCGATTTGAGAAAAACTGACTTCTTTTACCATCTTCTAACTAATGAGCATATTTAAAACTCTCTGTTTATTGATATATTTGATTTCTCTCATCAATGTTTTGTAGTTTTCACAATACAGGTCTTATCCATACTTTGCTAAATTTATCCACAAGTATTTCATATTTTTTATGTTCTTGTAGGTAGGATTTTTAAATTTCAGTATCTAATAGTTTGTTGCTGATGTGTAGAAACATAATTGATTTTTAAATATTGACC